CTTTCTACTCTGATGTGTAAATCGGACATCAACAATTTCCAGGGAATAAATTTAACCAGAGCTACAATTACACAGGAAAATCCTAAGAACAGAAGGAAAACATAAACTCCTCTCACTTGAATTTCTACCACAAAAGAGCAAAGCATTTCCTTATCATCAAGAAAATAAGAATAAAAAATCGTGTCATCATTATGACAGAAAACACTTTATTTAATAGTGAATAGACTTGGAAAGGCTGTAATAATCCATGATACATCCCAGGTTTGGTGTATGGTATATTCATTCCTCTTCTGCGTGGATGTGATTCACATTAACTTTGCTGAGCTGAGTAAATGTTGAAACAGTGTCATTTGAGAATTCAGGGAATGAACACACTGCCACGATCACTTGATTTAGACTAAAAAGCAAAAGGTGTCTGTCTGAAGAAATGTCTTTTGGCACATGAACCCTTGTTCACTTCTGAAAGACAACCGCACAAAGCCAGAAAATGTGCTGAGCTCCACGCGTCTTGGTGGAGGGGACATGCTATTTCTAGAGGACGAAAAGATCATTTTTCAAAGTCACTTTCTGAAATGAGTGTGCCTCTGTTGATGGATCACATCAGAGTTACTCTTTGAAGATCTGAGAGCAAGTGAGAATTCATGTGAAAAAGCAGACTTTTTAGGGTGGTGGTGGTGGTGGTGATTCTTGGAAAGATTCTCCTCCCATGTTTTCCGGAGCACAGCTGAGCAGGTGTTGGGCTTGATCTGGTTCAGACAGTCACTAGTATTATGACTCCCCCATTCCCACCCCCCACGAGCCACTTGTCCTGTTCCAGATGTAGGCCACTCCTCCCTCCCGCCCACCTCACCTCCCAGGGGGAGAAAAACCTCTTTCAAAGAACTCGTAGACAGGTGGCTTCTAAGCTCAGTCAGTTCACTCACACTCCCTGATGTTGTAGGACATCTGCTACTAATTATTCCATCTAGGAGCACATGGGATGTCCAGCAGAGAGGCGGATTTCCAGGGGAACCGCCTCTTTCACTGTTCCCTTTCACGTGTGCATTTCACCTGGGCTGTCCCGTTGCTGCCTTCACTTTTGCCAACGCAGGAGGTGGCCAGTGGGCAGTGCCAAGCGAGTCTGGGGAGAAAGTCCTCTCCTGGGAAGCCTTTAAGAAAGCCATCCTACTGGCATGCTTCAGAGAAAAGCTGGGCCAAAACATCTAAAGGGAAGTGGCTCCATCACATGTGCAGCTCTGTGAAGGACTACTCTGAAGAAGCTGCCCAAGAGTGTGAGAGAAAATTTGGGTTGATGTCCTGGCTCATGATGTTCTAAATGCCAATTCAGACAAGGTCTTTGGAAAACAACCTGACCTCTAAGATTGTAAGCAAGTGGTTAGGAGTGACTGCTTAAAGGAGATGCCAACGGCCCAAACTCCAAGCCGGACTGCCAGCTTTGCACAGAGTCCCCGCCAGAGCTGGCTACAAGTCCCCATGCTTTCCCAGGAGCAGAGGCCGGAGCACACCCGAAAGAATGGGGCAGCTGAAGTAACGGAGATGTTTAAGTTCCACTGAGCCTGAGTTCAGCGGGGAGGCGGTGGGATTGGGGGCCACGCCCCCGCAGATGTAAGGATCCAGACTTGCCCTCTCTGGGGGCGAGCAGGACACAGCTGCGGAGACCCACAAGTGTCCCGTCCATCTAGCACCTCGCTGGGGAAGCCCTGCTCCCAGAGGCCCAGTGCTCAGGAAAGACCCTGCTGGGGGCGTGGCAGATGCAGCGCCTGGAAAAGGGGGCAGGGAATGTCTAACCTGACCTGGTGCGAGGGACCTGACTCTCCCACTGCCCGAGATCCGCCTTGTCCCCGTCTGCTGGGTGGACGCTCCGGAGAAGCCTAGATGTGCTAAGGCAGGGTCGAAGGCAGGGAAATGGCCAAGACCTGCGGGGAGGTGCCCGCCTGCCTGCTTGGGAGGAACTGACCCTTGGCTGACCCTCAGCTCACCCCCACCCTGCACACACCTCAGCTATCCGGACCGCCTTAAAGCTTCGGGACAGCGCCCTGGGTCCAGCGCCCGGATGCCCTTCTCTCGGAGTTACGTTTGCTAAGCAGCCCCGGAGGGGCAGGCCCGGGTGTGCAGCCCGCGGGAGCCGGGCGGTGGGGTTGGGTGCCCGAGGGGCGCTCCCGGGCGCAAATGCAGGAAGTTTCCTTGGACCCTCGAGAGGAGTCACTGTGCCCAAGTGTCAGACTTGCTTTGCGAGAGTGCATTTGGCCGCTCGTGTGCGCGCAGGGAGGCGGGGGCGGGAGGGAACGAGAGAGCAGAAGACAGAGCGCGCCAGCACCCTTGCGCACCCAGAAGACGGCCGGGGTGGCGAGGAACTTGGCAAAGGTCAGACGTCTGCGCGGGGCTGCTCCCGGATCAACAAAGGTGACCGTAGAAAGCAGGGTCAAGCTACAGCCCTAGGACGGCGTGCAGCCGGCGCGGGGCTTTTCCAACAGCAACTGGAAGTGGGCCGGGGCGCCTCCGGGCCGGGCAATCCAGTTGCCATGGCGCCGCGGTGGAGGCGCAGGGCGGGCGCGCAGCAGTTCCCAGCCGCGCCGGGTCACCGGGGCAGTGGGGAAGGGGCTGGATGCCCCCCGCTCAGCAGCCGGCGGGCCGCCGTCCCAGGGAGGCTGCTCCGCCAGCCACCCCAACCCCTTCGCTTCCAGGGACGGGGCCAGGATATGGCTCTGATTCGCCTTTTGAGCCAAAGTTGAAAATAAGCTTTCTCATGAGAGTGGTTTATATGCGCTCAACCAACTATCCACCCTACTCAAAACACAATTTCCTCCAGAAGAAAATAAAACTCCTACTATTGCATCAAAATAGCCCCAACAGGGAAATGTTCCAGTGATTACAACGTACACAATCCTTCCCCACAACTCAGGTCAGAAATCAGAGAAAATGGATCTCCATGTGGAAGATGTTTGAAGTTAATGGAGAAAATAACAGGTTATGGAAAACCTGGGTTGTTGTTTTAGGATATCAAGGCACTGGTGGGAAGGTCTTTGCCTACTCCCCCTATTTCTTAAGGACATTCTTAGTAAGCATTGGTCGAGGAAAATGTATTTTTGTGTGTGTGTCAGCTCTTTTGGAAGGCTGCTACACACTCTGCTACAGTCGCCAAGATTTTTAATATGAAGATATGAAATGATCAGCGAATGTAACCATCTAATGACTCAGCAAATGTTGTGCTGAAAGACCAGAGCAGCCATAATTAAATCTTCAGAGTATTGGTGGCAGTTTTTGGCTCCAATTCTTTTTTCCCCACCCAGTCCACAAACATACTAAGCCACACTCATTCACAAACACTTCAGAAGATTCCTCAGTCTTCCAGATAAGTAGGTTGTATTACTCAAAATATTGGGCAAAACTACCATACTGTAGCATTTACCATGCTTGAAGCAGAACAGCTGAACACACCACACACATACACACGCGCACACACACACCACATTTCCAGTTATACAGAGACCTGTTTAATGTCATCCAAAGAAACAAGCATTTCTGTGGATGCTTGTTGCTAAGAGCAACGTGCTTAAGTACCATCTAAAGGCATGAAGAAAGCAGGGAAACCACTACAGTAGGAATCCAGCGATAACCCATTGTCCTTTTTTGTCATTAGCAGCCTTCTGGACTCCAGGTGTCTATGTGTATGAGGTGGGGGCGAGGGGTGGGTTTCCCTGTTTTAATATTGCGAAAAGTATTCCCACGCCAGTTCCACCAAGCTGGAGAGAGATGGTAGATTTTACCATCCTGGGCGGGGGTGGGGTGGGGGGGAATGTGAAAAATGAAAGTGACAAGGCACTGTTGACATAACAGGAGATGCAGGAATCACTCTTCAATTCAAATGTGACTGATTTGATGTATCTGCTTTTATCTCAAAGACACATACTCAAGATTATATGGTTTCCTGCACTCTTTGGTCTAAATCCACTTGAACTGTCAAAAGATGAGCACACAGTAGGAGCGTTCAGGCCGCTGGGTTCTCTCTGGCTCTTACCCACTCAAGGGAACTTTCCCTGACTAGTTGTGCTCCTCCTGAAACTCCATTGGCCATCGAGAGCGGCTGAGCGCGGCCCACGCTTCATTTCCTCCAAGCAAACCTTTCTGACCAATGTTTCCACGGGAATCCCACGTTTAGATTTTCCTCGGAGCTCTAAGGGAACCCTGATTCCTTAGGAAAGCAACAGATCGCCCTAATACGGAACTGCCACCTCGGCTCTGTTACCGTCCGCAGAGAAATAACGACGGCGACTGCCTCCCATACCCACGACCCGCCGCCCCAGTCACCACTGTTACTCCTTTATCAGGGCAGGACGCTCGGCGAGGAAGCGTGAGCCTCGCAAGTTAAAAACAAACAAAACCCTTTCCTATTCCACTTGAGGTGAGCAGCCTTTTCGCCCTGGTAAGTAAAGCCTCCACCCTTCAACCGTATATTTTAAAGCCCCGCGTCCCCGTAAGGGCACCGGGGACTGGAACAGCGCCGAAGTTAACGCAAGGGGCTCCCTGACCACCAGCGCCATCAGAAGGGGTCGCGCCTTTCGCCCGCGGGCCAGTCCGGGTCCCGGCGGAGGCGGACAGACGCGCCACGGCGGCCGGGGCTGAGCCGCCGAGCCCCGCGGGCAGAGGAGCGGAGCCCGGTGCGCGCGGCGGGGCGGCCGCCGAGCCCGGAAGGCGCCCGGGAGCCCTGCGCGCCGCCGCCCGCGCCCCGGCGCCCTCGCCGTCCTGCGACAGCTCCTGCGCGCGGGGAAGGCGGCCGCGCCGCCGCCCGCCCGCACTCGCTCCACCCTCCGCGGCTGCAAAGGGTCCACGGGAAAAGGCAAATGCAAAGCCCCGGGGGTCCTTGAAAGCCCTGGGAGGCGACGCGGTGCAGAGGTCGGAACGCAGGGAGCCCACCCGCCTGGCGCAGCGACCCCCGCCTGTTTACACCCGGCCGCCTCGGAGCCGCGTACCAGGCAAAGGGCAGCGATGGGGAATCTTACCAAATCTCAATACATGTGTGGTTCCTTGAGAATATCCAATCCACAGTAAGCAGAGCAGGAGTTTAATGGTGCGCCTGACGACTGTATGACTTAGAATCGGGGAAATAATCTTCATGGTGTTTCTGTGTCCACACGCGCGGCACCCACTTCCCCGATCTAGCGTTAGGTTCCCGGCTCGGGTAGCAATGAGGATGCGTCGGGTGGTGGCCGCGGACACGATCACGGCATGGTCACAGAGAGAGGAAGGAGTCTCCGCTTCCCAAACCCATTAGCAATCGCTGCATGTTCTTCACTCACTGCGCCAAGGAGCAACCTTCCACTGCAAGGGATGGTGGGACATCCATGTTAGTCGGGAAGCATCCGGGAGAAATCCAGCACGCACACCCACAATGCCCGGCCGCGCGAGCCTGGGGAGGCGAAGGAGGAGGAAAATCAATAGGAAATCCAGCCTTGGAAACCGCCTAAGCGTCGGTAGCGAGCCACGGTCCCAGCACAAAAGGCTCTTTGCTCGCAAAGGTTTTGCCAGGCCCTGTTCTACTGCACTGCTGCACAGCTTCTGACGTGAAGCCAAGATTAAGTGAGAAAAATTGAGATAGCTGCTTGCCTCTTAAGGCTCCCTGCCAGTTAGCTTCCCAATATCTATTATGCAACCGATCTGATCACCCGCCTTGAGTTCCAAGAAAGAAGTCGGATTTATTTACTTGGAAGAGAGTCCTTTTATTTTCAATAAGAGTCTTTGCTAAGAGAGTGACTGGTGTATGCAAGCTGACTTCTTACAATCAACTGATGAATTTTAATAAAGGACAAGCTAAATCAAAATCATTTCGCCTAGGAGTTGTAAAAAAAGAAGTGGTCTGAGGAATTTACTGCAAATACAACTTCTGTTCAGGTTGAAAGAGGGTCTTATTTATAATTTTTAAATTTTATCCAGGAATATTGACTATAGACTGGAGCGCAATTGGAGAGGTGAGGATAGTCTTTAAAAACTTGAGTTAAGTTTCTATGAGAAAAAAAATTTTTCATAGAAATTTTTATGGGAAAACTATTAAAATAAAGGAATCATTTTCCCACCCATTTTTTTTAGCTCATCTAAAATAATTGGCATAATGTATAAAGACAATGATGTTTGAATTGGTGCAGCAAATTCCAATGTCTTCAGTTATTTATGCCCAACTTTCTTCTCATTTTGGTTTTCTGAATATGTTTTTCTTTAAAAGGTATAATATGGTATTACAGCTGGAGTAACACTGAGTGTCACCGTTTTGTCTAAAAATGCCTTATTATTTTCTAGTGTTCTGGTCAGAATACTTAAGAGTCCCCAGGCAGTGACTGTCTTGGCTTTCACAAGTAGCAATTTATTTAAGAAAAAGGTACAGAAATATAGTCTTTAAATATAAAAATAAATTTTACTCCCCCAGATATATAGGTAAAAATATCCAATCCTAATATTTTATATTAGTAAACAAAACCCAGATAGATAGTAATAAATATATTACTACATATTAATATTTTTAAGTGATCAAGAAGCACAAAAGGCAAACTGCAAGATCTGTAGCTTAAAATTAAATTTTCTCATAACTGGTTAACAGGAACATAGGTTAAAACTTATTAGAAAGTGATAAGAACATATCTTATTTGAAGATATTTTTTATAAGGAATGAGATGAGTACATTTCCTCCAGGAACAAGTAAACAATTTCATGTTTTCACTCCATTATAATGTTTTCTTCTATCTACTTTTCTTAAATATTATAAAATGCTGATTTGAAAATAAACCTACATTTTTCAAAGGCATTAAGTGGGCACTGATGTTTTTGGTAAGATGGAGGCATAACTGCAGTGTCAAAAAATAAGTATTATGAATGCCCAGTTCTGCAGTGTAGCAGGCAAATCAATCAAATAATGTGACTGTCTGAGCACTTTAATATGAACACCTTGTGGTAAAACTAAGGGTATCTAGCGACTCCTTCAGTTCATGTTTAAAATCTCTCTTGTAAGATTTGAACAGCCCAACATGGTTCTGTCTTGTATTTGCTGTCTCATATATTCCATTCTATTTGTTCTTTTTCTTTTTGATCCCAGCAGAAATAATAATGACTGTCAGGGCAACAATAAATATTCTTAGGTTTTTCATCTGTCATTATAATTGATAACTACTACCTAAAATAGCATGGTCTGTTGTGACTAATCAAAATACTGAATTTTTGCAGTGTAGTTGACATTTAATGGAACCTGAGAAAACAAAATCTACCGTAACTCCTTGCTCATGTATTGTGTTAACACAATGTCATTTGGTATTACAATTGTAACTTCTCTACTTAAAACTAGCATTCTAAACTATTTAGTTTCTGTAGTATTATTCATGGGATGTCTAGTTGGAAAAGTGAAAGATCAAGCTTACAGATTCATGAAGTTCTTACATAGTAAATTAAACAGTAAAAAAGTCTATCATTAATTTTTCTTACTATTAATTGGTCCCCAAAGAACCAGTTTTGCACATATGCTAAATTAGGTTCATTTACATCCATCAACTAATCTGAAACACTTCAACACCATAGACAGCAGCCCCACCTGGGTAATTGGACTTCTGTAAGACAGGAGACAACCTTTCTTCAGGACCGCGGACAGCGCTCTAGGCATCGATTTATTCCAGAGTAGTACATTGAGAGGGAGAGGGTAATGTGCGATTTGAGGTGACACTGTGCATATTTCCACTACACGGAGTGAGGGAATTTGAATTATTGCATTGTTCACATTGTCAAGAGGACTATTTTGTCAATTGTGTTGTGGGTATATTTTCAGTGTGACTTACTGAGATTGCTTGCCATTTTATCAGGATGTGCTAATAGTCATCCCTTTCCAGGGCATACTACTATAAAAGCCATTTACATTAACTGTGAATTCCCTTATGAGCACTAAATTACTTGTTTCTCAGTAAAAAAAAAAATTACAAATTGTCTGAGAGGCCACCAAGAACTCATAATACTGATAACATACTCTCAATGTCCAATGGCTAAAGACATTTCTAAAAAGTACAATTAGTGATTGCTTTAGAATTCTCCACCTCCAGACTTCCATCTGTTACAAGGTATATCATACTAATTCTTACTCTTTCTCATTAAACTTCACTCACTCCCAGGACAAAGCAACAACAAAATTCCTTAAATTACCTCCCCAGTACTAGTACAGAATGATTCAGTGGCACAGAAGATGCCTTATAATAAGTAAATTTTGAAGTTATTACAAGTTTCTCCTCAATACTGATCCCACACATCAAAGTTCTAGGGCTATATAAAGTTATTATATAGTACTCACTGACCAGATTTAACTGTCTTTTAAAAATGTGTCAGTTTTGTAATTTGCTCCTTTCTCAAAGAAAAAAAACACAGTATTCATGCCAGGCGATCATATATATTTAGTAATGGTGAGATTTACACACATTATTCCATGGTTTCTCTTGCTTGCTTCTCATTTTAACCATATGGCAATCTTTATTTCTAGAAGCCAAAGCTCTGTAGGTTCCAAGGTCAAAGCAGAGATGACAAACTGCAAACGCATACATATATGCACACACAGAGAGGAGCTATGTCTAAAAGAAAGCCTCAAAAAAAAAGAAAGAAAAGAAAAATCCTACAGAAGGCTGACATGAAGAGATATTAAGCCTGTGATAAATCAGCCAAGAACAATATGTGTATCATGTTCGTGCAAAGCTTGTTCCAACAACAAAAAGCCATTAGCTTCATCTTTCACTGTATTTTTATATTTACTGACACTAATGACCTCTGATTCCTGGGCACTATTACTTGAGAAGCAATTTTAGTTTTCTATTCTCCCAGTGAAAATGAATCTTATTCTAGTTAGCTGCCACCTGCTGGGGCATGTACAAATGTGTAATAATCCTTACAGCACAATGTTTAAAAAGACAATGCCTATACCTTTCACAAGAAACAGCAAATACATAGCCCAGAACAACCTGAATTTCAAAGGTATCTCAAAGGTTCTCCCATGACATATCTATACTTAAATTTTCACGTGGAATTCCTTCTAAGAATAGAATTCCACTTGACTTGTCACCGAAGTCCTGCTGTTATGGTGACATTTGAGAAACCTCATGTTATAGTAACACCTGATCTGTCCTTTCATGCATGTGGCCTGCTGTACTGAAGCTAAGTGAAAACAAACAGCCTGTTTATCTACAGCATTACGGGTGCCACAGAATAAGTCAGAGCTGATAGCAGTTAAAACCACATTGTTGCATACTTGCACTTCACTCTTTCCAACTATGAATGCTTTGCTATGCAATCCCTTGTGATTCTGAACACAGTATCAGCTGTTGCACCAACATTCTGCTGCATTGATGATTAATGACATTTAGCATTTTAATTAATTTTTAGATCCCGAAAAGGTGTGTGTCTTACTTAAGAAATTGAATTGGGATAGATTTACATGTCCTGGAACCTTTTTTTTTTTTTTTTTAACTCCAGCCTGTGCAGTCTTCAGTGGGTTTAAACAAAAGAAAACAAACAGGTAAGACTTCTGGGCATCGCTTATTTCTCCATCACCTCGCTTCTGTGTGTTTTATTTTGTTTGTTTAACTAAATTCCTAAGGCCCCTGGAAGCTGCCTAGGAGGTTACAGGAGTGATTTCTATAAAAAGTTATAAGGTAATGAATGAACTTAGACAAATCAAGAGTGAAATACTATTGCCTATCTTTCAGTAACTAAGTTACAAACTAAGATTCAAATGAATCAATCATCTCTTGTGAAATGAAAATAACCATTAATCCATAAGGTAATTTTTCATGACAGAATACTTATAGTATGAAGATGGAGAAATGATAGAAGGTAATTTGTGTGGTACCACAAGGGTAGTAGCAGTGTAAGCTGTCTAATATTCCCTATTTCCTAAATTGGGAATCATTATCTAAGGCGTCTCAGTTATGTCCTGCTGTTTAGTAAAGAACTCCTTGAAGGTAAAACAAAACAAAACAAAACAACAACAGGGGAATGAGAGTCATTAAAAGTTCTGGACGTTTCTGATGCGGGCAGGTGGCACCACTCCCCTTACCTGATGGGACGCCCTCCCAGTCCTTACAGACGCTCCCAATACTGGCTCAGTATTGAGAGTGCCTGTACTTCTCAGCCCAGAACTAAGGAGCAGGGTTAATGGAAGAACGGGACGGTGGAAAGAAGGCTGCGGGCTCGTCCGCCCCTGGCAGACGCCGTCCCGCCATCTGTCTCCCACGGCCACGCGGGGGTCCCAGGAGCGGAGGCCGCTTCCCGACGCGTCGCTCACGGAATTATTTTAAGTGGGGAGCTGACCGAACCGGTTGCATCCCTGCCGGGAACCGGCCGAGGCGAGCGGGGCACAGCCACTCGCCGCGAGAGGGTCGGGCGGGCGCCCCGAGCGCACGGCTCCGCCGCTCGCTCCCCTCCGGGCGAGGAGCGCCCCCCGCGGCCCGGTCCCTCCCGGGGGCGCAGCGCGGGGGCGGCCCGGGGCCGAGCACGCCGCGGGCGCCCTTACCTCTCTCGGTGCGGCGGGCGGGGGGCGGAGCGGCGGAGGAGGTCCGGCGGGCAGTCCCGGCGCCCGGACGGAGCAGCGCAGCCGCGGGCGCCGAGCGCGAGTGACGGCGGCGGCGGAGCCTGAGACCGCGAAGCGGCGGCGGCGGCCACGCCTCCTGGGGGCGGGGGAGACTCCGCGCCTCTCGCCTTAAAGGAGCCGCGCACCTTTCCCCGCGGGCCCCGCGCACTCCGGCCTGCCGCGGCCCCCAGGGCGCAGCGCTGGCCCCCTCACCGCAGGAGCGAAAACGCGAGGGTTCTGGGCGCCTCCAGACCTGGCCGTCTGGATTCCCCGGGCCCGGGCTCGGTCCCCTGCGCACAGCCCTGCCTGCTCTCGGCTGGGGGGACGGGGACCGAGGTGTTCGATCAAGGAGTGACGCAAAGCCCCGAGGAATCTGCTTGGCCCTGGGTGGTGACAACAGGTATAGGGAGCCCGAGCACGTTTGGTTCTGGATGGCCGCTTTTCTACCTCTCCGCACTATAGCAACGAAACTTCTCTGCCATCAAATTTGGGAAGCAGCTGGCAGTCTCCAAAGTGACCCTTTTAGTCCAACTACTGCCATTTGTTTCCCTTTCGGGGTCTGCGAGACAGATCCTGACTGCTCCTCACCCGCACCTACACCCCCTGAGCACACGACCAGTGCGCTCCCCGCGCCCCCTAGACGCCTGGACGCAGCCTTCTCCAGGCCTCCAGTGCCGAAAGCAGATGGGGACTTGGCCCGCGTGTCCGGGGGTCGGCGGGCAGTCTCTGTGCCTGTCTGGCGCCTTGATGGCAGACGCCTCCTTTCCCCCCAGCTCCCTGAACTCCCCACCCAAGCAAATCACAGAAAATAAGTTGGGTTTCAGATCTGATGGGCCTCCAACCTGACGTCGCAGACTCGAAGGTTGGAAAAACGAGCCTGGGGACCAGTTCCAGCCTGGCGGCCACCTGTCAAAATTCTCTGACAGACGTTTTAATAGGCCCGGGATGGGGAGGAGCGCCACAGACCCCCAGCCTTCCCGCAGCCCGACTTCCAGGGAGGGGCCCCCGGCGGCGAGCACGCCAGGTCCCCCCTGCTTCTTAGCAGAAACAATTACCTTCTGCAAACAATCCCTGGGTTCTGCTCCTCTGGGTCGGAAAAGTCAACATCTACTCAACGCCGTTGCTATGTTATCCTCGGCCCTACACTATGAACTGGAGCAGGGACTAGGGGGTTTTCCCCAGCGGCAGATGGCGAGCAGCGATTGGCGAGGAGGTTGAAGTGGGTCCGAGCCGGCACAGCAGACACTTTTCACCCGGGCCGTGCAACGTAGGGGCCTGGTGCGATCCCGTAGCTCGGCCGAGGCCGCGGGCAGCCCAGGGCCCCTGCGGCGGTCGGTTCTCTAATTCCGAAGGCCGGGAATAGAGAGCCTCTGCGTCCCCGGGGATCGCTTGTCTTAAGTGGAAACAAGCGTTTGCCCTTCGGCTGCTTCGTTGCCCTCCCAGAGGTAATAAGCCTGGCGCAGCTTCGCAGGCCTCCACACCCCAGGGCAAGCGCCTGACTCAGCCCAGCCCCGGAACACACTTAGTCCTGCCAACCCTACCCGGTTATCAAGGAAAATCACGTCTCTGTCCCCCACTAGGGATTCTCCACGCCCTTACATGCCTATGGCACCTGCCCAGGTTGGGAAGACTCGGGCTTTGCAGAGGTTAAGAGAAGAGTTACTGGCAATGGAAAGTCCGTTAAGTCATTTAAATATCCCG